ATTGGATATATGCTGTCCAGTTCACGCGCAACCCCGGGCATGGGATCAGCGCGCAAGGAATTCTGGACCTTCTGAAACGCATCGGTAGAAAGCAGCTTCGAGTAGTCCTTGCGGTTCCAGGAGAGAAGTTTGATAACTATGGTTGGCAGCCGTGGACCGGTCCCAAAAAGAAAGGTGTGGATGGGGAGATGGTCATGACAAAAGGCGCTCTCCCAGGGGACGAGGTCCCTACCGAGCTGAAGAGCATCAAGCAATGGGTGGTTCGCCTGAAGCTGCCTGATGCGGGGAACAAGGTTCCGCGCATCCCCAAAAAAATGTTAGTGTTGCCTGACAAAGAGCTGTCCGATGATGACTTGTCTGACGACGTGTCCAGATAGAAGTAGATCGTGCAACGTGTCCAGATAGAAGTAAATCGTGCAAGAGACGTGGCAGAATGTTAGTCGGATGTGGAGGACCAACTCCTCAGCAAGAGCTCAAGCTTCTGTAGCTCAATTTTCTTCCTCTGTTGCTCTTTCAACAACATTAACGTCTCTAGACATCGGCCATGCTGAATTACAGAGAACCAAGTCTCTGGTGTATGCATGTCTTGGTGGTACATAATGCCCGAGTGCCCGAGTGAAGCCTGGAATTCGCAGCATACAGTCGTGTGCTTTCCCATGAAGATTTTCCGCTTTTGAGTGGGGTCTCAAATTCGTTCCAATAAAGTGCGATTGTAATGTATGACATTGCTTGAATATTATGAGCGCGAGAAGCCAATCGACCTCATAGTGTATGCGGACCTGTAGTTGATGCTGCTATCGTTTGCTTAGGACAACGATGTGTAATTAAGTTAAGTCAAAGGTCCATGATAATGACCATGCAATCTGCTGCCGGCCTGCATGCACGAGTGGCTGGTTCAACATATCTCCTTCTCGGCTATGAAGGGTAGGCTTTGGACACGTTCCCTTGGAACGCACGCGCGAAGCCTGGGCAACACTCCTGCATCATGGCCGTCTATGTCCACCACAGTCCATTTGAATATAATGTGCAAGCGTAGTCCGGCGATGCTAGAACATCAGCATCCATCACTCTCCCCTCCGTCTCTCAGTCTCTCAGCAAAAAGATGCCCCTCGCCTTCGGGCGGATGCTGAACACCTGAGTCTCGCAGGATGGAGTACAGCGCATCTCGGATGCCATCATGCGTCAGCGTGCGCGCTTTCCACCTCGGGAACAGCGTAGAAGGCGAGGCTTTGAGAACTTCGATCACGTATAGACAAAACACATGAATGAGGGCCACACTCTTGCGATTCATTGAGTTGTATCCCCATCATCTGGTATCAATCTGAAGCTGCAAGTGCCAGTGTTCAGGCTACTGCTTCACACGCTCTTGCGAGATCGTGAATGCGCAGCTCCTAATATCCAGCAGGCTTCAAAATCTGGCACAAAGCACAACCCCGGCTCTGACCGTTAACCTGGAAACCACATGCGCCATATTTTTAGCCTTTCTTTACCTGCTCCTGCTTGGGGTTAGATGACGGCACGAGCGCGCTAGCCGGCAGGGCCAGGCCGAGCAGGCACTTGCGGGGTTCTTCTGGCACCTTGAGCAGGGCGCACGCCTGAGCGGACCAGGGGATGACGTGGAGATGACGAGGCCAACGGCCGGGCGCGTATGGGGGGAGCGAGACCACCCCTGCTCTTTCCCGGGAAGTCAGATACTCCACTAGAGCACCGAACTGCACGAGAAGACATTCGGCTGTTAGAGAACAGGGGGAACGAGAACAGGGGGAACGAGTATCTACGACTTGTGACCATGTTTTGACCCATCCCAGGCTAACCGTTTTGAGAGACATATGGCCTTCCCGGACCAAGCAGCCGTGACCGACATGCCAGACTCTTACTACATAAAGAACTACGCAAGAAAGGTCTAACGATACGAGTCAAGCGGATATCTTCAAAGTGGTGCGATTATAGGATTTGTGGAAAGACGCATGTTGCAGAGAGGCACAAGTGGTAAGCAGACACGTTACGATCCATGCAGCAAAGGATGAGGTGACGGGGTGAAATGTGGGCAAGTTTATTTACGAGGCTCACGCCAGGCTCGTCTGCTTACCCCCTGTCCGCTGTTCTCGTCAGTCACAATAAGGCGGCAGACCTCTTTCTGCGTGCTGGCTGCACCGCGCAGCGTCACCTCCAAAAGACCCCGCAGGTCAGAGCGCTTGGTTATGTCGAGCCGGTCCGGCCACCTGAACAAGGTTAGACGGGTCACTAATCCGGAAGGAAAACGGGGAAATCTTCTTGGACTTAACTCATCGAACGAGGTCCGTTGCAGATGAGGTAAGAAGTTGGGCAATAGACCCTCCGTCTGTCAAGATCCAGGACCAGGCCGGAAGCCAGGGCAACGACCCAACACGGAGTTATTCATCTACTTTTGCAGGACATAAAATCTAACTCAGCCAGAACCCCACGCCACTGGCTGATACAACGAGTTACAACGAGGTCTTGCCACCCAGACAAGGAAGCCGTAGTCAAGGCTTGCCAAACGAACGCTTACCCGGCAGGCTCGTGAATGGCCCCTTCGTACCAGCACCCCGGAACGTTCTCCGCGACCATAGCCACCCGACAGTACGGCGCGCCACTTTTGCACAGCGGGCCTTCCCACAGAACGCTCCCCCTCCCGCTGGCCCCACCATTGTCTGCCCGTAACCCTGCTTGAAAACCCCCGCCGAAACCTGCCGCCCCGATTGCAGCTGAGGGAGTTTGCAGGTTCGGGGGAACCACTGCGGGGCTAAAAGGGCCCTGTAAACCGGGGGGCGGACCGGCGGGCGTCACGGCTTCTGGGCCTGGCGCCCTGAAAGGCGGCCTCTGCAAGGCCTCGGGGGCCGCAGGGTTCTCCGCCGGTGCGGCAACCCCCGTGCTGACGTCAGCGCCCACGTGGCGCGCCTCCTCGCGCTTCTTCTCGAGGCTCTGCCGCAGCCGCTCCTTGACGCGCGCCGCAAGGTCCCCGTCGCCCGCCCGCTTCTTCTTCTCCCCGGGGGACACCGCCACCGACTCTAGTTCGGCGACCAGATTCGCGTCGAGCTCCGCTTCTGTGGTCGCCTCTTTTCCCCGCTTCGCCCCTTCCTCCCCGCGGCTTCGGCCCCTTTCGTGCAGCGGAGAGTAGGAGAACTCGCGCCGGTGCGACGCGTCGCGGCGCAGTGGCTCGTCGGGGCCGCCGCGCCGGCGGTCGTGCTCGCGGGAACGGTCGCGACGGTCGCGGCCGCTCTCCGAGCGCGCGAGCTGCGCCTGCTGGATCTCAGTCTTCTCGAGCGACTGCGCTGAGTTGCTGCACATGGATCGAGCGATTCGACTCAGAAATAGGTTCTCCTGAGCACTCTGGGAGTTGTGCAATGACAGCCGAAAAATTATTTCTTTCAATGTCAGGCCCGGTCATATCTTAGGATGAGAAGACTGCAGAAGCTCTTGTAGTATCATTCTTATGTGTCGCCCTTCATAACTGGAAAGTGCCTGGCAAGCCCAGGTCACAAACATTGAGGACGCCTACCGTACGCCATACTTCTTTCTGAAGGACGTTAATTTTGACGTGTCAATTAAGATGGACTTCATTTGAGGTGATCGCATGTGATTGCAGAAAAGTTTGGGGCTACTACCCCATTGGTGATGAACGGCAAGGAGAGGTAGAGAACAAACGTTGAGTCCCTTGTCAGTATCTCCACCGTTTTCGCAGCCCGGCAGGCTCACCTGTACTTGACCTGCATGCTCGCGTCCAGTTTCCTCCGCAGCACCTCCAGCGCCGCGCTTGCCGCGTCCACGCTACTAAACTCCACGAACCAGCACGGGCCCTTCACCGTCCGGCTATTCCTCATGTTCGTCACGCTCCCCTTCGTCCCCGCAGCATTGTCGCACATCCGCTCCAGCTCTCTTTCCGTCGGCAGATCCGGATTGCTCTTCGGGGGGTACCCCACCCACAGCGTGTTCGTGGCCCGGCCTTCCCCCCCGGAAACGAACCCCCGCGCGCGGAGAGCGAAGCGGTCGGGGCTTCGTCCGCGCGTACGAGGCCGCTTGAATTCGATGTTGATCTGCATTCCGCCGAACTGGGCCCCGCTGAGGCTGTCTTTTGCGGCGGCGGCCTCGCGCGGGTGCTCGTAGTTGATGAACGCGCACTGCGAGTGGCGCAGGAAGCGCCAGTCGATGACGGGGCCGTACTGCCGGAATGCGCCCAGCAGCTCGTCCTCCGACACGTGCGCATCCACGCGGCCCACCCACAAGCTGAAATAAGATGCGAAATACTTTCAGTGATGATCTGCGTTTACGGTGACCCGATTAGCGGGAGACAGACGGTATGCTTCTACCCTACCCAAATAGAATTTTGCACGTCTGTGCTTTGCGTTGTTTGGGTCCCGTGGACGCTTGAGTCCATTTCTGGGGGTCCGCCCGGCTGTGGTAGTGCCCCTTTGCTGATATACATATGATGATCGCAAACGTGGTTTGTGTTCGATGGTCCGTGACATGTGTTCAGGAAAAAAGGGACTATTACTGGCTCCTCAAAAGACGATGGCTTCTGGCGAATCGCAGACAAGGAAGAAAGGGGGAGGTAGGAAGCACGCCCGGCCTGTAAAACAGTCCACTCACAGGCTGGTTAGAAGCACCACAAGTGGTTCACGGAAACAGTCTACCCTTTTCGGTTGGCTTTCTCCTGGAACATTTTGCAATAGGTATGGAGCTGAAATGGTCGGCTCACCCACGGCCTGTACACGTAGTTTGAAAACCCAAATAGTATAATAGTAAGTAAATTCGACCCTTTGATTCGTAATCCTGGAGCTTGCTCCTTTCAGGCCTTCTGTCTTTGCATTTGCCTGATCCTTCCAGCTCTTTAAAATCCAGGTCTGATCGGCATAAGGACTTCTCACCTTGGCGGGTTGGTAAACACGTCATCGTCTTCCGAGTCGGCCCCCCTGTCGCGGCTGGCGGCCCGGACCCGCCGAGACCTTGACCGAGACCGGGAACGAGAGCGGGAAGAAGACCGTGCGCGCTCCCGGGAGCGTGATCGCAGCCTCTCGCGGCTTCGGCTCCGTGGGCGCGGTGGAGGTGGCTCAGTCTTAACGCCTGCGGAAAAGGAAGGACGTAAAAGGGGTCTCTTTCCGTTTTCAGAGACTTTCAGAGATGGTCTGGTTGTAATACCTGGCCTGACAGACATTTGGAAGCTGAGGAGGAGACGGGATGTATGCAACGCTACGAGAGCAGCAAAGAAACATGGGTCGACTTGAGGTTTTCGAAGAGAGAACAAGAGAGCGTTAAGGGCAAAGAGGAATCCAACAAAAAAAAGAGGATGATGTCACAAATGTGCCCAACATAAATGCGAACCATTCGACGGTTCTCGGAGTCGTCAAACTGTAGACATCCCCCGCCGCTTGCTCCCAGCAAAAGTTGCTTTCGGGGACGACTTTCCAAATGGATGCAACAGGAGGAGTCCATCAACAAATGAGAATCGCTACGCACCTGATCCTTTGGCCCGCTGTGCTCGTATGTGCACGATCGCCGCCGCCGCATCCTCCGGCGCCTCATACTCCAGCAGCAGAGCGCTGGCGGTCAGCAGCACAGTCACGTTCCGCGCATCCACCACCCCTCCCGCCTTTAAATCTCGCAACAGATCCTCCTTTGCGCGCTGGCTATCAATCCCCCCACCCAGATCGCAAGGCTGCCCCCGCCCCCCCGTTCCGGTGACTTCTTCCGCCCCCCATCCGAGAAGCGGATGGCTAATCTCTGGTGGCCCCAAACCAGCTCTCCCTGCATCGCTTCCCTCGCCCTGACGGCATCGTGCATCTTGACGAAGTCGATGAACCCGTGCTGCCGGCTCCAGATCGCCGTCGCCTTTTCCACCGGCCCGTACCGCTCAAACTGCTGCCGCAACATATCGTCGTTCACGCCCTTCACGAGCGACCCGACCCACAGGTGCCGCGATGCGGGGAACACGTCAAACGCCTTCGGATCCCCCTCAGCGTACCAGCTCGGCTGGCCCACCCCCCGCAACACCTCCCCTTTTCGGGGGGGTGATCGCACCTGCTGCCGCCCCCCCTCGCTGTCGCTGCTGCTGTACCTTCGCCTCTTGGGCGGCCTCTCGCCCTTTTCGGCTCTGCCCCCCCGCCGCCCGTTGGCCCAGCTGTCCTGACTGTCCTGGCTGGGCGACCGCGCCCGACGCTCGGGGGGGGGCGCTTCCCCTGCCCTTATTTCCCCCCCAGTAGCGCCATTCCCGTAGGAGGTCTCGGCTGGCCCCTTTTGTGGCTCATTGTTTGCCTCAACTGCCAGCTTGGCACTTGAAGCGTCTGTCCTCCCGTCCCCCGCTTGAGTTTCTAGTTTTGCATCGGCGGAGGCCCCTTCCGCCGCCTTTTCCTCGTCCGCACTCTTATCCGCCTCTACCGAGTGGTACTCAGGGGCGCCCGCCTGCGCCTCGTCCTCCGTTATCCCCCCCAGGCTGGAAGCATCCGCGGTTTTCAGCGCCTCTACCAGTTTCTCCAAAAGCGGCCATTGGGTCCCCGCCCCCGCCTTGCTCTGCCTCACCGCCCGGACAACCCACCGCTCGACTTCGGGCCTGGGATGCAGCACGGCCGCAACCCAGCTCATATTCGAAGGCTCGAAGCCATTGGCTTCGGGCTCGTTTACACCAACCTCCCCCTCCTCCGGTTCCCCATTCTCTGCCCCCTCGTCGTGCTTTGGTTCCTCAGCAAACTCTGTGGTGAGAATACTCTCTAGGAAGTGCGCAGAGGCTCCTTGCTCCTTTTCCGACCCCGCAAGTCCGCTGAACGCGGCCTTGAGGAAAGCGCACGGCGATGCAACGAACCCCGAAGCAGCCGCCGCAGCCGTGAGCCGCGCTGTCATGGCGACTGCGGAAGGACTCGTGACAGCTCTCCGGAGATAACCATACGGGTCCGACGGTCCGAAGAAAGGCGCTGATGAGCTACCATGAAGAACCTCGTCCCGGGAGTATTCAGCTCTAGGTCGCGGCAGCATCTCAGACCCCAGTTCCTCCAAGAGAAACGATGCCACTCTGTCTGGCACGTCCGCCGCTTCCTGTGGTTCTAGGCTCCCCGACCTTACCCCCGCCGTTACTGCGGCCAGCAATTCCACCATGCCCCCCAGTGTTGATTGCGCGACTTTAGCGGCCGCTGCTTGGCTTCTGCCGTCGTCACTGGCGCTTTCTTGGATCGAGAGGTACAACTCGCGCAGTGCCTCGAATGTGGCTTGCAGGAGTTGGGGGCAGAGGACCGCATACCGGGGCAGGAGGCTGGCTGCAATGTGGGCCACCTCTGGAGGGCCTGCAAGAGAAGATCACGGCTGGGATTCATATGACTGCGATTTGAGCAGGTTCTCAGTCATTGCGCGCAAGTGGCCCTGGATCTTGGTTGGAGAGTATTTGGAATATCAAGACCTGTACTCATTTCTTTCTGCCCCCGATACTTTGTGCCGCATTTAGTGCAGCTTTTATAAAAGATTCCTCATACCAAGCATGCACAGGCTGCTACCAACTAATTGTCTGTCTCCTGCAATACTTGCTCCAACTTCGTTACGAACACATAGCCTCTGCTGGCGCCAACCGCGCAATGTGCTCCACAAAAAGGCGCACCTTTGGTTGCATCCGCAACCGCCATGAGCGCCGTCTCGGCTTCCTTGACGAGTTGCCCCCCTTTCTGCGCGTGGCACCGGGCCGCCCCCTGTTTCACCTTGCTGTAAGCCTTGTACAGGGCGACCAGCTCAGAGTGGACCTCGCGGCGCCGCTGCGCCTCCTGCTGGTCAGCAGGGGACGCCCTGATGATGTCATCCTTTGCGGTGGGGGCCTGCACCACTTCCACGCCATTTCGACCCGACGAGCGCGCTGGAGAGACGATGTCAATGGAAGCGGATGGAGAAGCGCCGGGTTCGTCCTCAAATCTTCGGCGCCGTTTGAAAGGCGGCTCGACGCTCCTGTCTGCGTCATGCCGATTGGAGGCTTGACGAGGCTCTTCGATGTGGATGGGAGCAGCCGCCTCAACGTCACTCAATTCTCCTTCTTCCAGCAGCTCGCCCTCCTCCATGGTCACAGAAGGATCTGCCAGCAGGAAATGAAGCTACGTCTTTGCATCAACTTTTCAGAGAGTTTACCACATTGAAAGAGGTTGGTGTCTAACTTTTGAGTCCAAAACCGCGGTGCACGTTGATTCAATTTAACATTACACCTCAAGCAACACAAGTGTGCATTGGAGGCTGCTCGGAAAAAGTGCTCAATCAGTTCAATGCTACTCAGTAGCATTAATACTTGGATTCGGATTGAGATCGTCGGAAGCAACCTGAATGCACCACCATCTGTTCGAGGAAGTGGTGCTAGTGTTGAAGCGCTATTCTGCACGCACGTTTTCAGATTGCCTTGCAGACTTACCAGCACGTTACCATCCATTTGGACGCCAGAATCCAGTTTGTTCTTCAAAAGCTTGAAGATAGATACCAGAAGTACCAGCAAAAGGGGACCGAATGACCTTACCAATGAGCAAACCTTGCTTGGTGGTGCGACCGCCTTTCCGTCTGATTGTTCCTGCTCCTTGACATGAGTTGTTAAGCAATATGTGCAAACAAAGGCGGGCTTGGAGAACACTCAACAGACTTACCTATTACAATTTACACTGCTCCCAAACGTCGGTACGCTCCTCAGAGTCCTCTCCTCCTTACTCACACACTTTTTAACTCTTCCTAATAGGACCTAATACTTGGTGCAACTCCAAACCAAGGCAGGCTGGGACGAAGACTCGGAAGAGTCAAAACTGAGAGACAAAGCCCGGCCTCGACTCACCAGAAAATCTCATGGTTACATATTCTTGCTAAATTCTCGAACGCCTCTCGGACGTAGTTTGCTGTTTGACACAAAGGACCCTGCAAAGAC